AAAAACCCTCAGCATCCCAGATGCTCCACATTCAGCGGTTCTTTAGTTGTTCTCCTGTGTTCTCGTAGAACAGAGAGTCTGAGCAGCAGACTGGGTGTGTCACCGTCAGACAGTAATTATCAGACTGGAGGACGTAAACATGGATCACACTTCAGACCGCTCTCCACATCATCCTGTCGATGAACAAACCAGGAATCAGAAGAACCACCTCAACAAGCCCCAGAACTCTTTTTAAGGGTTACTTGAAGAACCAAAGGATGCTCCTTTAGAACCCTTCAACATGCCCCCAAAAAAACCTTTCTCAAAGAACTTCAAGACCCGATGAAGAAATCTTCAGCCCACTCAATAACCCTCTAACCCCCCAAAGTACCTCTGACAACTCCGGCAGTAACCGTAGAACCCCAAGAACCCCTTCAAGCTTTCGGGTATTTTTAAGAACCCTTAATACGTTAGATTATCCATCATCCTTTGAAACCTCCTCATAATCTACAAACCTTCTGAAGAACCCCAGGAACCTCCGTAAGTACCCCAAACATTTAGAACCCTTTGAACCGGTCCAAAGACCCTTCCCCAAAGAACCGCGAGTGCTTTGAAGACCACCTGGTGACGGTGGCCGGGTGAAGAAGCGGAGCAGACAGCTAGTAGCTAGCAGATAGCTAGCAGACAGCTAGCAGCTAGTGACCTGAGACCACACCCACCTGTCACTCAAAGAGGCCACGCCCTAAATTATACCTAACTTTAAGCCTTAATATAATTGACAGATGAACAGGAATGTTATCTATAGATACCAGAACTGTTTATAGTACCAGACTGTAAACATGTTTATTTTTGCTGTAGAGTTTCACTTAGACGTCTATGGGGACTCTCTCTCTTTAGGAGCCTCAAGTGGCCGTTTGAGGAACTGCAGTTCAGCGTTGGCTTTATTTCTCAGCACCAAAGTTTGCTTCTTGGACATCGTTTCTGAACTGCAGGTCTACTAGTGAAATACTTTATTAAGGTCACCTGGAAGTTCCATAAGAAGCATTCGAGGCTTCCCCCCGACACCTGGACCGTTCTCAAGCACCTTTTAACGGCTTTTCAGAACCCTCATGTTCTCTTAAAGAACCCTGATGTTCTCTTAAAGCAGAGGTCTTCAACAGGGGTCCGCGGAGGTACTGCAGGGGGGTCGTGACACTTTTGGTTAATTAGACAATTTTTCATATTTTACATTTTTTAAAATTTTTTTTTTTTTTTTCCCAAACATGAATGTGTCCATTATTTTAATAGTTCAGTATTGTATGAAAGATAACAGGTATGTTTATGCATGGCAGTGGCACTAATAGGCCATCACTCATTTTTCATTTCCACTTTTATGTTTAAAATGAAAACATCAATGAGAATAGCTTGTATGCATGATTGTCATGCAATTGACAGACAATGTTGATATTGGCATTGGTATCAGTTGACAAGGTATGTTTATGAATGGCACTAGGCCCAGTTTAATATAAAACACGATTTTATACAATATACAGTATATAGTCGGGGGTCCCTGCTCCATGTCTCTATCAGTTTGGGGGTCCTTGGCCTGAAAAACGTTGAAGACCCCTGTCTTAAAGAACCCTGTGACTCTGCATAAGTCATGCAGAACTTTGAGGGAAGTCCTTTATGGATCAAAGGATCCTTCAAAACATCCAAACAGAAAACTGATATGAGAGCAGACTGAAGACTGTGTGTGTGTGTGTGTGTGTGTGTGTGTGCCTGCATGTGTGTGTGAAGAGGAGGAGGAGGAGGAGGAAGGGTAGGCTGGCTTGTTTTGTCTGAAACACAGGAAAGGGGCCGGGTTAACTTAAGCCTGACTCTGTGTATGTCTGTGTGTATGGATGTGTGTGGGTGTGTGTGTGTGTGCAGACAGACAGAAGGGAATGTGTACACTTCTAGAGTTTATTTCTTGAATCTCACCACAGATTTTCTACACTGTAAAAAGTTACTAGTAAGTCAGTACTAACAAGAGTCAAGCTAGTGATTTATTAAAACTAGTAATAATGTTAATGTTTTATTAATAATGTTAATTGTTAAGGTGTCGCTTTGCGTAATTGTGATAACATTTCTCAATATTTTTGCAAAATCAATTGATTAAACCATTACAATAATCATTAGTTAATAGTTCAAAATTAGCTCAACAGTAAATGAGTCAGACGAGCTTCGCTAACGTTAGCTTTGTCTGTTATAGATATTAGCATGCTAACATTAGCTATGTCTGTTACAGATATTAGCACGTCTAACGTCGCTAAATACTACAATACCCATGATCCTCAGCTGCTGTCGCCATCATAACGTACAAAACCCATTGTATCCCAAACTGATCCAGAATCAGATTTATGATGAATTTTATGTTCCTGTCAAATTCTGTGATTGGATGATTGTTCGTGAAATGCACCCTGGGAGTCGTAGTTGTCTTCTGTCCTGAAGTTTTTATCAAAGAACTAAAATGTTTTGTCTCCTGAATGATTTGTTTTGTTTCTGGTTTTAAAAATAAAGGAACAAAATGAAGCTGACTGACTCGTTACAACGGACATTTTTTACAGTGTGTGTGTGTGTGTTTTGTCTGTAGACCCTTATCCCTGCCCTTCACCTGTGCACACAAAACACACTCTGCTCTGATTGGCTGTAGAATTATTATCCAATGGGAAGATTGGGTTTAGGGACCGCATTATGTCACAGTGTCCACACAACGATAGAAGTACAGGTTTGTGTGTGTGTGTGTGTATGTCACGCCAAACCACGACCATGACATCATGTCTGACCTCACGTGTGTGAGTGTGTGTATGTGTGTGTGAACATCACACATAAACAGCTGAAACAGAAAGAAACTTTGATTCTATTTATAAACATTCATGATGTCATCATGTAAAATGTTAAATAGGTCGTCTGTCTTTTAATTACAAGCTGTTTGTAGGTTAAACATGATTCTGACCTTTAACCTTTTACCTGGTTCTGACCTGAACCTTAAAACCAAGTCTGACCCTCAAACCTTTGGAGAAGTGAGAACAGACCAAATGTCGTCCCTCTAAAGATGTAAAACTCACATTGGTTCTCACAAAGACAGATATGCAAGTACACGCACACACACACACACACACACAGTGTTTCCATGGTAACCTCTGTTCACCATGACTCAGTTCTCAGAGTTTATTTAAATTGTTTCCTGTCTCTGACCTGTCTGTCTGTCTCTCGTCTGTCTGTCTCTCACCTGTCTGTCTCTGACCTGTCTCTCTGTCCCTCACCTGTCTGTCTGCAGGTGGCGGGTAGGAAAGGCTTCCCTCACGTGATCTATGCCCGTCTGTGGCGTTGGCCCGACCTCCATAAGAATGAGCTGAAACACATGAAGTTCTGTCAGTTTGCGTTCGACCTGAAGTACGACAGCGTGTGTGTGAACCCCTACCACTACGAGAGGGTGGCGTCACCCGCCACAGGTAGACCTCATTAATATTCATGAGTACAGGACGCCTCCTCAGCTCATTGGTCACCATTGTGGTCTCTGTCTCTGTCTTCCTTCAGGTCCTCCGTCTCTGATAAAGGAGGAGTTCATGCAGGACTGTCTGCAGGTGGACCTGCCCCCCCACTCTGACCCCTACAGCATGTATCCCAGCATGCCCCACTCTCCTCCAGGTCGGACTGTCCATCACATCTGTTTTATTTCACGTAGAGAGGATAAGTCCCCGCCCCTTCATGTGGACCACCATGGCAAAAAAACACGAGAGAGACAAATAATGTTTAAATTTAAATATATTATGTTTGTTAAATTAAAAAAATAAAAGTCTAATTTTGACGTAAAACTGTTGAAGTGTAAGACTGAAAATACATAATTAGAAAGACGACACAGGAGACAACCTTTAAAGTGAAGTCAAAGCTTCATGTGTTAAAGCTGCATTCTCTCTAGTGTCCACCAGGGGGCGACTCCTCTGGTTGTATAGAAGTCTATGAGAAAATGACTCTACTTCTCTCTTGATTTATTACCTCAGTAAACATTGTAAACATGAGTTTATGGTCTCAATCTCTAGTTTCAAGTCTTCTTCAATACAGCATGATGTTCATTTAGTACATTATGGTCCATTTAGAGTCACACAGACCATAAAGCAGGGGATGCTTTAGGGCGGGGCTACACGGTCATTGACAGCTAACTAGCCAAGCTAACAAGCTAAACTCCGCCATTGACTACCGTACTGACTAATGTACTAAACATTCAGATGAATGTTGGTGTTGTTGACGTCCTGCGCTCTGTTTTGCAGGCAGCACCTCTATGACGGCTACACCTCTGTCAGCTGTTGGCTGTGGGAGGAGCGGTGGGGGGGTCTGCAGCAAGGGCCCCGGACTCCTTCAGATCGCCCCGCCTCAGAACCACAGGGACCACGCCTCCCCGCCTCACCCCCCTTTGCCTCCTCACCCTCACACCAACACCTCCCCACACCAGCCCGACTACAGCAGCCCCCCCAAAACTGGTACTGTACTTACACATATCAGTATTAAGAGTACCAGTAGTACTAATAGTTATGGGAGTAGTTCCATTAGTAGAAATATTAGTAGTAATCATAGTAGGCATATAGTTCCTGAAGCAGTCCCAGTACAAGTAGTAGTAGTAACAGCTGTACTAGTTGTAGTAGCAGTAGTAGCAACAATTTGAGTACAAGTAGCAGTAGCACGAGTAGCATTGGCTGCATAAGTAGTAGCAGTAGTATTAGTAGAAATATCAGAAACAGTAGCAGTATTAGCAGTAGTTGTCATGACAGTTCCAGCGGCATTTCTATTATATTTAGTAGTAACAGTTAATACAAGCAGTATAATCTGTTGTACTAGTTGCCAGTAGTAGTAGAGTAGAAGTAGTAGCAACATATCTAGTAGAAGTAGCAGTAGTACTATTCGCATTAGCAGCAGAGGTAGTAGCCGTCATTATAGTAGAATTATCAGTAATAATACCAGTAATACTACCAGTAGCAGCAGAAGTAGTAGCTGTAACAGTAGTAGTAGTAGTAGTAGTAGAAGAAGTAGTAGTTGTAGCAGCCGTTACAGTAGTAGTAGTAGTAGCTGAAGTGATCGTAGTAGTAGTAGTAGCAGTAGTTGTAGCAGCAGTGGTGGTGGTAGTAATAGCTGTATTAGCTGTAGTATTAGGCGTAGTACTACTAGCAGTAGCAGCAGAAGTAGTAGTAGTACCACAGTAACAGTAGTACTATGAGGCAGATACTGACCTTTGTCCTGTTTCTCTCTGCAGCCATCTGGCCAGGTAATAGCCCCGCCCCCTACAGCCCAGCAGGACAGAGAGGGCGGAGCCACCAGCAGCCTCCGTTACATCATCACCACCACGCCCCCAACACTCACTTCTGTATGACATCATGAACAATATCAAACTGAAGTACTGCAGTAGTAGTACCTTACTGTTGTACTGTTCAGTGGTAAATTATACTGAGTCTAAATGTTTGTTCCTGCAGGGTCACACCACCACAGTACGGCTCCGTATCCACAACCTGTGTCCAACCACCCAGGTACCCACTCTGTCCCAGAATGTTCTCACTTTTAAAAAATGTTTCCACTTTTAAAAACCTTCCAATAATGTCTTCACTCCCCCCCCCCGTCTCTGTCTCAGTTTGACTATCTCACTTTGTCCCCCCTGTCTCATTTTGTCCCTCAGGTCCAGAGTTCTGGTGCTCCATCTCTTACTTTGAGTTGGACGTTCAGGTCGGGGAGATGTTTAAGGTCCAGTCCAGCTGTCCTCTGGTCACGGTGGACGGTTACGTCGACCCTTCAGGAGGAGACCGTTTCTGTTTGGGACAGCTGAGTAACGTCCACCGCACCGCCTCCAGCCACCGAGCCAGGTGACCAGTCCCACCAGTACAAGTCCCACCAGTACCACTCCCACCAGTACCAGTACCAGTGGTATCAGAAGGAGGTGTAATGTCAGCAGTTTGAAACTCACACGGCTCGTTCTTCTTCTGCGTCTTGTTTCCCTGCAGGCTCCACATCGGTCGGGGAGTTCAGCTGGAGTGTCGGGGGGAGGGGGACATCTGGATGCGTTGCCTTAGCGACCACCCGGTGTTTGTCCAGAGCTTGTACCTGGACCGTGAGGCGGGCCGAGCACCTGGAGACGGAGTCCACAAGATCTACCCCGGAGCTTACATCAAGGTGAGTGTGTCGCTATGCAGATGGCTCTCTGCTGTTCAGCAACAGATCCTCACAGAAGAATATTTCAACATTATTATATAATTATATTATATTATAACTTATAATCGCTTTTTCTTTTTAGCATATGACGACTTATTAGCTGGAGGCAGAACAATTATATGAACACGTTAGTGAACGCTGGCTAGCAAGTTTTGTTACCTTGTTTTTTATAACAGCTGAAATCTTCAGTCACTCACTGGACAAAGACATGAACATTGCTGTCGCCAGATAAGTCACAACTTTTTTCAGATCATTTTCTGTAACCAGTGTAGCATTAAAGCATTAAAGCACTGTGGAATTAGCAGGCTAGCTAGTTAGCTTGCTAATTCCACCGTGCTTTAATGCTACAATAAGAAGAAGAATAGAAGCCCAACAGAGAGTCATCTCTCTGATGGTTTAGTATGTTAGCAACGTCTCTCACCTGTCTGTCTCTCACCTGTCTGTCTCTCCAGGTGTTCGACCTGAGGCAGTGTCACAGACAGATGCAGCAGCAGGCAGCGGCAGCTCAGGCAGAGGTGGTGACTCAGGCAGCAGCGGTTGTCGGTGCGATTCCCGGGCCGAACAGCGTGGGGGGGATCGCCCCTGCAGTCAGTGAGTATCACCTGTCTATCTCTCTCTCTCTCTCTCTCTCTCTCTCTCCCTTCTGTCGCTCTGAGCCCAGATGTGCTGAGTGCAGGTGTGACTTCCTGTTCTCCCTCCAGGTTTGTGTTCAGCAGGTCTCGGTGTGGACGACTTGCGTCGGTTGTGTATCGTGCGGCTGAGCTTCGTTAAAGGTTGGGGGTGCGACTACCCGCGTCAGAGCATCAAGGACACGCCCTGCTGGCTGGAGGTCCACCTGCACCGAGCGCTGCAGCTGCTCGACCAGGTGCTGCACGCGCTGCCGCCACGAGACCACGCCCTCTGACACAGGTGGGCTTCACCTGTGTGGCTGCAAGGTGGGCGGGGTTTAGTTCACCGGACGGCCAATTGGCCGAGAGACAAAGCCGTTCGGGAGACGTCACTTGAACCCCGTCACCGCCTCCTTGTCGGGGGGTTCATAAACTCCGCCCACGCGCCGCAGCTCATTGGTTCGGTTCAGAAAGGCTTCAGACAATCAGCCAGCATCACTTCTCTCCTGTCAGTCAAATAAGTTTCCATGGTTACCAGCATCCAGTGTAGCTCATTGAGGGGTCAGTTCACCGGTTTATTCATTATTCATTATTTTCTTCAACATTTCTGTAAAGTTGTTTTCGAGGTGACTGAGACTGTTGGTAAAGGTTCCCCGGACTAGACGAGGTCCAGATCCAAAGACCTGCAGCTACCCGCAGGGTAAGTGATGAATAGATGGATCATTAGTAGCCCCCCCCCCCCGCCCTCACTATCTGCAGTTTAAAGTTCAGCTTCTTCAACCAAAGATTGTGAATTTCAATATGTGAATTACAGTCGTCGTCATGACGTCTCTCGTTGGTTTGTGAATGTTTGAAGACTCGAGTTCGTCATTTTGGTTGTCGCCATCTTGTTTCTTATCAACCAGTGAACAGGAAGTGACCATATCTGGACTGAGGAGGAGTGACGTAGAGACGCCGTATACATCTCTGGTAGAGACCTGCCAATCACTGTGTAGCCCCGCCCTAAAGCATCCCCTGCTTTATGGTCTGTGTGACTCTAAATGGACCATAAGTTACTAAATGAACATCATGCTGTATTGAAGAAGACTTTATAAAGCAGTAAACCTTCTCAGTATTTCTCTGCACAGCTGCTTCGAGTTTTAAAACTCACTTTAGGTTTGATGGCGACTTCACCTCCCTCACTTCCTGTCTTCTATCTGTAATAAAAAGTATACAAATGACCCAAATTACTTTAAAAAAAAGAAGAGAAGAAGAAACTAGAGACCACTCTGTGATGTGTTTCTTCCCCTAACTTCCGGCCCCCTCGGTGTCCCAACTGGTAAATATGTAGAGATGTTTAACTGGTTTTGGTGAAGCTTTGTGGGCCCTAGTCCAGTATCTGCATTGGTCCAGTATCTGCACTGGTCCAGTATCTGCACTGTTCCAGTATATCTGCATTGGTCCAGTATCTGCATTGGTCCAGTATCTGCATTGGTCCAGTATATCTGCATTGGTCCAGTATCTACATTGGTCCAGTATCTGCATTGGTCCAGTATCTGCACTGGTCCAGTATCTGCACTGGTCCAGTATCTTCCCTCAGGGCTCCTTCCTGTTATTCGTCACAGTGCGTCTCATCATCAGGACGTCTTTATGTTTGTGAAACCTGAGATCTGGACCTTGTGAAGTCCTGGTCTCACCTGTTGCATGGTTTCTAAACTAGTGTTTAGTAGTTTGGGTGAACTGACCTTTTAAAAACTAGAAAACATTAAAAATATATATTTTTAAAAAAAGTACCTGCCAGAATCAGCTGTTCCATTTTCCACAGAGTGATGTCATTGTTTCTTTAGTGGTTATTTATTTTTAATAATTTTTTACCAAAGATTAATTTCCTGCCCTTGATGACATCACATCCTGTTTACTCTGTCAGATTATTTATTCTGTCTTCAGTTTTTTTTCTCTCTCATCTTTTTTTTATTTTTATTATTATATTTTTATATTCTAAAAGCTTTTATACTGAAAGGGTCTAACTGTAAAATCTGCTGTTTATTCAAAATAAAAGTTTTCTTATAAAAAAAATCATCTGCGTCTTTATTTTCCTTCTTGTTTAGAATCAGAAGCTCAGAATTATTTATATTTTCAATATACTACAACTACTACCTGCAGTACTACCACTATACTGATACTTGTACTGCTATCACTATTCATTATACTACAACTACTAGCTTATTACCTGCAGTACTATCACTATACTGATACTTGTACTGCTATAAATATTCATTATACTACAACTACTACCTGCAGTACCAGGGTGTTAAACCAATATAATATAATCATAAAAACATCTTAAATGTTGACATTGCAGAGTAAAGATAACATAGATTTATACTTGTTGTTATTTATGAACTGAAGGCATCAGTGAAATATGGCGCCAATGAGGACAAAGAGTGGGCGTGTCTAAAGTTTAAATGTTTCATGTTCGCCTTCTCATTGGTTACAACGAAGTAACGCCTCGGCGGTTATAACCAATCGTTGAGAAGAGTCTTGCATAATGAGCTGTTGTGGGAGGGGCTCAACGAGTGGCTCATCATCAAACCAATGGGAGAGCAGCGTCTGAAAACAGATGAATATTCATAATACAAGGGGGCGTGGTCTCGCCGTGGAGGTCGGGCGCGAGCGAACATGGCGGTTTAGTTCTCGCCTGATATCTTCTGGAGGAAGACGCGCAGAGAGCCGTTTATCTTCTGTTTCGGAGGTTTTTATTTTATTATTATCTGCTCGGACTCACAACATGGAGATGAAGAAGAGGATCAGCTCAGAGCTGAGCAACAGAAACCCAGCGGAGGTGAGTAAACCTCAACTACACCATCATCGTTTAACCGGTCACGTTATTTACAGAGGGACCCGGATGGAGGCTCGAGACCCGGAGCCGAAAAATATAGATGCTAAAAAATAAAAAAAAACATTCCGCGCGGAGAGGACGTCAAGATTTTATTAGCAACATTTTGAACCCTATAAAAAATGGCGCGTTGAACCAAACTCTATTCTTAAATCTGCAGCTTCTACCGTTACTCGGTTATACGTTTAACCGTTTCTACTATTCTTCACACCCTGCTGGTCCATTCGGCTCACACTAAACCCAACAACAGTATACTAGTTTAGATTATTCGTCTAAACTAATAGTCTAAACTAGTTGGTCCTGCGGTTCCCGCCCGCCCGCTGTGTGTTGGTGATGTAAACAACATTCTAAAAACTGCTCTTTTCTGAAGGGAGTCTGGCACGCGGGTGTATCCATAAAGAGTCGATGTGTCCGACCGACAGATGGTCATCGGTGGGTGAATGCGCGCGCAGACAGCAGCTGTGTGTGTGTGTGTGTGTGTGTGGGTGTGTGTGTGTCACTCACGTGCACGCTGGGAGTTCATCAAAGAGTGTTTGTCAGACAGGATGAGTCACTCCCTGCTGTTGTGATCTGAAACATGAACGTTTTTCTCTGTTTTGGTCTGAAAAGAAAACACGTTTTTACAAATACATAATTTACAAATGTTTATTTCTTGTAATACCACATATTTATGAATGTAGTCCAGGTTTTTAAAGAGACTCTGGAGTCTACATGTAGTTCTGGTCCAGGTCTAAAACCACTAAAAGTAATAGCTCAGGGTTTTCTCAACATCTTAAAGTGTAAATGGTGTCTGTAGCTGAAAGTATGAAGAAGAAGGATTTAAAAGTTAAAGAAGTTTAAGAGGATTTGAAGATTTTCTCCATAGACATCCCATTTAAAAACAACAACTGCAAAAAGCTTAATAACTGAAAAGGTTTAACGGTTGTAAACTAGATGAATATAGCTCCCCTCTCCTGAAAGAGCTCAACGGTTTCTGTAGCTTAAACACTGTGGAAGGAGAAGAAGCAGCCTAACTGATGATCATTGTCTGAACTACAAGACAAAGCTTCTGGCTCCTCATGACTGAGTGTGTGTGTGTGTGAGGACGTGGTCACGTGACCTGTTGTTGTGGTCAGGTGGTGGAGCTGGTGGTGGAGAACTGTCGCTCCAGTGACGGAGAGGTGGAAGGTCTGACGGACGAGTACACGGAGCTGGAGATCCTCAGCATGGTGAACGTCGGCCTCTCGTCGCTCTCCAAGCTGCCCAAACTCCCCAAACTACGCAAGGTCGGCCTCCACACTTCCTGTTCCCACAATGCATCACTGTGCCGCTATTTTTACTCTCTGCTTTCTGCCTCACGTTTGTCTTTTTCTTTGGTTCCTTTCTCTTGTACGCTGACTCAATGAAGTACTGATGTGTGTCTCTCTCTCTCTCTCTCTCTCTCTCTCTCTCTCTCTCTCTCTCTCTCTCTCTCTCTCTCTCTCTCTCTCTCTCCGTGTGTGTCTCTCTGTGTGTGTGTGTGTGTGTGTCTCTGTGTGTGTGTCTCTCT